TCCAATAAAAGCTTCATTCACTAAAAGGAAGGTTGCAATAAATGAGTACTGGTATGACAAACTGCGCCAGCCAACAGTAATTTCTATACCTGATATAGGTAATAAACTAAACTAAAATAACATGATATTCATATAAACCCTCGTATAAAGACATAACATTTCACAATATGGATTATTAAACTTTATTCCATCGAAACTGAAGTTGGAGAGCAAAGTTTGATTATTTGGCACCCAACGCGGGTACATTATGTTAATTACTTGGTGTCCAACGTGGGGCAAAATTCAGTGGTTCTGCTATCGGTGAAGTTATTTGATATTATGATCACTGACATATGGCGCTTGCCTTTACCGTCCTCTCGATAAGTGTTCACTAATGGTAATCGAATTCTATGACCTACGTCATAGCGGACGAAATACAGGGGGTATACCTACCTCGAGTAAGAGAATGGAGATGTCGTAGAATGAATTGAGAGCGATAGGTGTGGGAAGGAATTGATCGGCGGAATGAACCTCCTATGGAACGAGTGCGAGGGCAAATCCAAGCGAAAGATAGAAAAAGTGGAGGATCAAATAGAAGGAAGTACTCTTTTCTCCAAGTGGGTGGTACCTACGAGTGAATTTACCGGAAAAAATGGTACCAGTATAACTTCACGACTCGTGGTAGACGAAATTCGGGATATGACTTCAAAGGCCTGCGAGAAAAAGAGACACGAAATGGCTGTAAGGTAACTGACGGCGCCGTAATGTGTCCAGAAGATCTGGGCAAGGAAGCAATTAGGAAGAAAATAGATGATTACATAACGGTTGATGATGTCTAGGCGGCAGTTAAAAGAGAATGGTCGGAAAACAGCACAAGAGGCGAAGAGGTCCACCCAAGCTCATGGCTCGAACATGAAGTCAATAGGAAGAAATGTTGCAACTGCGGCAGCGAATGGTACTACAAGCAAAGCTGTCAAAACCCAAAAAAGTATTCAATCTGCTCCATGGTCAATGGTATCTCCTAAGTTTAGAACTGCCATAAGCAATGCAGAGAGCAACCGGGGCCAATAAATCAAATTAGTGAAAAATGTGAGAATGTGGGAAAATGCGTACCGTGTCTGTCATGAACTCAGAAGGCCTTCGGATAGAGGAGTGATAAGGAGGAACTGGTGACTATCTTGACGATACTTGAACATGTATTCTACCTGTTAGTGCATAACTCATTGTCACAATGTATTTTTGCAAGAAGGTAGAATTGTCTTGGTCAAATATTTGCACGAGAATCAATAAATCGTTAAATTATTTTTGTTCTGCCTATTCTTTCAAAGATGTTTCAATTTCTTTGGATTTTAAACTGTTAACACTGCTTGGAGGTACACGATGAGGAAGCACGATGTACGAAACGAAGAAATGTTTCAACTGCATCAGAGAAGGGCACTACATGGAAAGCTGTCAAACACAAAAAAGTGTTCAGTCTGCGAAGAGAAAGGTCATGTCGATGGTCAATGGCATATCCTAAATTTCGAGCTGCCATGAGCAAGGAAGAGAGCGACCGGGGTCAATAAATTAACTTAGTGAAACATTGAACTGTCACTGTTAAATTGGTAACAGTTCATTTTTTTTTACATTTGTAGTACTACTTTTTCAGATGAACGTTAAGCGATGGATCCAAAGGGAAATCTGTTACCATCGTGACGAAACATTGACAAAAATTGTAACCTAATTCTATCGATTTGGCGGTGCATAGGGGAACGTTTAAATTCTTAAGTTTGGTTTCGTCTATTGTTAAGACATCTCAGGACAGGTAAGTTACAAAACCCACAATATCCTGCTAGGTGCCATATGAGACTACGTGTTTCCTGTCTATATTTCAGATTAACAACAGACGTTTTCAGATTGAGCGGAGTCGAAATATCCTTAAAACGTGGTCTCCCTGATCGTGCTATTAGCACTACGTTTTTCATACAAAATGGGTGGTCACAAATAGGGGGCACTGTAGTTGTGAGTATGTGAATCTCAGGGTAAACTAAAGTCTCGCTTACTGCGAGAAGCTTTAAATACTCTTCATTATCTTCTATACGTCCACAAATACTTTTTTTGCGATTTTTAGACGATTAATTAATTGACGTTTGTTCGTTAACAGGTTGACAGTCTGAAACCGTGTGTGATCGGATAACTTCGGGCAGACTCGTTTACTTTGAGACTCACATACCCAGGCGGTGTCCTTGATCATATAAGTTACAATTAGCAGTCCATGTACTGCTGGTCTAAGATCCGGACTCGTAAAGGGAGGTAAGTAGATATACAACGCCTAACCAGTTCAAGGTCGCTCGCCACCTTACGGTGACCGTGGGAAGTAGATCATGGTGAAGAGCGCGTGTCATGTGCCGGTGTTTAGCATGCGATTTCAAGGTAATTAAAGGTCACATTTTTGTGCTGTCATACTTCACATTCAACATTTCCAAAGGTCGACACCATGTTGCGGTGCTGCATTTTGATCTCAAGGTTATTAAAGGTCAACTCCATTTTTGTAATGGAATCTATTTTATTTTCAAGGTCATCAAAATTCAATGACCTCATTTTTTTATTTTCAAGGTTCGCGTTCACGTTCGGGTTCACGTTATGAGTGCAAACCATCGTTTGTGGAATCCTGTCGAAACGCGAATCGAACCCTAAACATGAATGCGAACCCAAACTTGAACGCAAACTCGAACGTGGTTGCGAAGATGGACGTGAACGCAAACCCGAACGTGAACGCGAACGCAAATACAAACCGCACAAGAAATGCCATTGACCTTGAAATAAGATGACAAAAATCAGTCATTGAGATTTGATGACTTTGAAAACAAAATAGATATTACAAAAATGGGATCATTGACCTTTAATAACCTTTGGAGTAAAACGTGGCACCGCAACAAATGGAGTCATTGACCTTCAATGACATTAAAAGCAAATGGGCTTCAAAAAAGGGAGAGGAAAGACCGACTGTATATCTGTATTACACAGATTGGTGGAAAAAGAATTGGATTAAAAAGGAAGGAAAGGAGTTTGCGTTTTTCAAGGACTTAAAGGCAGCGTTTAACATAGTAGGAAGGGAGAAAGTGCGAAAGATTAGAAAATAAACAAGAAGTTAAATGACAGATTCAAGGAACTATATGATTGAGAGTAAGAATAGTTATGGAGATATAAATGAGCAAGAGAGAGATGCGTACTTAGCCCAACCTTAGTTTCTACTAAAGTATTAAAACAGAGCCAAGGTGGAGGGATAGTAGTGAGATTTGAGAAAAGCAGTGGATGGAAAAGGGGGGCAGAATGGAAATGGAGAGAGGAAAGGATGGAAGAGATCAGAGAAGTTAAATATTTAGGGTACCACGTGCGAAGAAATAATGGGGCAGATGCGCAGATAAGAGAAACTAAGGAAAACGGGGTTGGTGGTGATGAGACAGGCGTGGGGAATAAGAGAGAAGTTTTTCAAAAATGGCTTCAGAACAAAACAAATATAAGTTGTGCACAACTCTTGTGCAGATAATAAAGCGCATTGTTTAACCGAAGTAGCTTTTCGCATGAAAAGAAGATACTATAAATGGGTATTAGGGTTAAACGGCAGACACCGAATTGTATACTAGAGGAGGAAGCAAAAATGGAGAAGTAAGGATAGCGTCGGACAAGGAGTGAAAGAGGAAGTGAATAAGTGAAAGAATGTATATCAACAAGGATGAACACAAGAAAAAATGAGGGAGAACAGAAAAAATATTAGGAACGAAATGGATACGAATGGGCTGAAGTTGAGAGCAGGAGAGAAATAGGAGAAATGATGGAGAATGAGTTGGCAAAAAGGCGCCGGGATGCAGAAATAACAGAGGGTGAAGATAGAAAACGCACGAGGATGTAGTAGTTACAAAAATCTAGTAGGGGAGTGGTTATCAAAATCCCAATGGGAGGGAAGGAAAAATATTAAAATAATGGCAATATTCAGATATGGAAATGGGGAGAGAGAGAACGAGAAATGGAGACAGGAAGAACAAAGAAAATGTAGAATCTGTGGAGTGATGCACTGGTAGAGAGGGGGAGGGGTGGTAAAGGGGATGAGGGTGACATTAGTAAGTAAAGAACATAAAGGGAAAACACTTCCTTAGGTTTACGTTGTTATAATTTAAATTGTAAAAAGATTTGCCCTTTCGGTGTCAAAATAAATTTGATTGATCTGTTCATCTAATTAATTGACGTCAGTGTTCCTCATTTGTTGTTGTTTGCAGATATGTAATAAAATCAACTATCCCTTACGTACCTAATCACTTACGTAACATTGACTATTAATTTTAGAACTTCAATTCTTTCCCATTACCAGCCATAATTAGAATCAGCTATTTTCCTTTCAATGAGACCTAATCTGAAATGATGCAGTATTCCAAGGTTGGAATCGCTGTATGCCTAAGGTAAAGTTTATTTTTCTATTTGTATTCAATACAGACCGATTTCTCAAGGATATATTGATAAAACGGAATTTTGCCGTTTAAACAGTAAACAGGAACATTCCTTAAAGACTGGGTCGGGTCATTTTTAATCGGTCTAAAAACTTTGAAAGGACAATTTCCAGTGTACAAAGTATTCATATTGTGTGAACCCATTTAAAAGAAGGTAAAAGTTTTCTATTTAAATTTAATACTAAGTTACGGAAGCCTTCTAACTGAGTTAAATATATAAATTTGTTGTTTCAACGATTTTTTGGTGCATAAATGAAGGCCAATTTTGATTGGTTTAAAGTTTTTATTGTCTTTATTTGCAATCAAAGTGGCTTAAGGCGGAAGAGAATATTTTACAATTTTACGTTTGGAAGCAATGGGTCCATTTTCCCAACGAAATTGTATCAAAGTATTTCCGTACATGTAACAAGTCTAATTTAACTATTTCAACCCGTTACTGCCTAGTTTTTTTCCTGTCAGGAGGCTATCCGAGATGGTCTACCCTTACCTGTCTTGGTCCTCATAGTGATCATCTGAAAAGGACTCTTAGGTACTTACATAAGGCAGAGAACTGTATCTGTGCGGGAACACAATTGTATGGGGTAAGATCAACGGATCTTACATATCTCAAATTAGCCAAATCGAGCTTGTAAAGTCCTCTTTGATTTGTATGCGTCACATACCCGTACTTAAAACTGTAGTGCGATAGTTCCTGAAACTTGGAAGTTATCGGCAATCGAATTGTGTATAGATACCTGATCCGCTGACGGAATATACAATCCTTTCACTAAATCAAATTGTCCATCGATAGGCTCGGGGTGGACGGTGTGATGTTTACGTTTTTGACCAGCGTCACGTATAACCTACATGATAAAACTGATTAGTAGGTACCTAATGAATGTAAATTAACATACCTGGATGGTCTTGATGCCCGTGTCATTAGTCGACCTCCAATTTAAAACCCAAACCTGATCTAAATGCGGAATATAATATAAATCGACAGGGTATTTGTCCGTAGAGACGACCTAAAATAATACTCTCACATCATATATCACGCTGTAGTTGATGTATTACGTCAACAACCACCATTTGTACTTTTGATATTATTATGACACGATCGCGATCGGGTTGGGATGCGTAAACGTATCTATTCGCAACATTTACAGCACGTCCCCAAGTACATTTAATGCCCTTATCGCCGCACACATATTCCTAAAACCGCAAAAATAAACATGACAAATTAGTTTGGAACATTCAGATTACTTGTGTGCCCGGAATAATGTCGGTGGATTGAATTTGATGATAAAGTCTGCAAGTGGATGGCTCGTAAACTGATACACCCCATTCGTGGAACGCGAAAAACCTACGTTCCTCATTAGGAGCCGCTGAAAACGGATTTGCATACTTATTCGGTTTGCTTTACTGATTGTGCATATTACGTACTTGGAGTTGGCTGTTCCTGGACGACCAGCGAGCTAATGTCCCTCGTTAAACCCCCTGAAATTCATTCAAACGTAGAAATTGTTACCATACAGACCACATTATTTTCTACCTATATTTGTAGCCTGGCACATATACGCTCCGGTATCGGCAAAGTTGATGCTTTTTATTTTCAGCGCCGTGCCATTCCCAACTATTTGATATTTGTGTGCGTTCTCCAGTCGGAGTGGCTCATCATTTTTCAACCACTCAACCTGAAAGATGAATATTTAGATTTGAAAAATACGAACGCGCCAAAATACCTTTGGGAATGGCTCCCCGGCTACGTGACAATACATCGTTGCATCTTCGCCGGGTCTTTTCGACTGAATCCGCGGCGTAACATGCACTTCCGGAATCGCTAATAAAAGGGAAGGATGAAATATTTAAGTCCGCCCATGCATTATTCAAATGCGATACTTACTGTGTACGGTAAGGACGTGAGTTTGTACGACGTCCTTATTCCTTTGAGCGTGGCAAGTGTAATTTCCGGCGTGTTGTAGCTGAATTCGCGTCAAGTATAGACTGCCATCATTAAAGACTCTCACTTCCTCCTCATTTAACGTGGATAAATCAAGCTGATTGCGTCTCCACACTATCGGAGGCACAGGTGATCCGGTCACATCGCACTTGATCTCGACGTTGTCGTCAACCCTCGCCGACAAGTGATTGGTTTCGAGCGCCTTGTCTAATGAAACGACCGAAACGCCTACAACAAAAAGTTGACGTCGTCGTTTTCTTACCATTCCCTTACTTACTGTACAATTTACTGAACGCCGTGTAAAACTCGTTTATGCTTAACTTTCCGTCGTGGTTAGTGTCGTCGAACTTAATCATGCTCGATAGTGTACAGCCGGTCGTCAATGTTTCGAAATGCTCCTGGGACGTTATCTAAAATTTAAACTGCGCTCAGCAACTGAATTACAAATGGCTAAAGTGGGAAACGACCCCGCCGATATCTTATGACTAATTCGTGCTGGAAGCAACGCTATCCATTGTGCCGCGACACATACGGACTTATTAATGAGTCAAGTTCGTGATTTGTGCAGTGTATTTTGACAAAACTTTTTGCAAGTATTATGACCGCTCACTCGGCATTTCAACTTCGTCGTCGGGTCGTTTCTATACGTGATTATATAGCATAAATCAATGTCAATAAGCGCAAAGGATTCAACAACGTTATTTATAACTTAGCAGTACACCAACGTGTTTTATTACATTTAAACTCATTCAAATTTGGTTGTAATCCCAATCTAGGAAAGACAACACAAAATTACTGTGACATGTAAAGTAATCCAAAATAGCATGAATGAAGGGATACGGGTAGCAGCCTTGCGGCACCAATACCCATTGATTAACCCATTAATGGACAACCTCCAAGTTGACGTTTATTATATTTTAGACGTTTCCGATGATATATTTTCTCAGCAACCAAACAAGACAAAACGATGGTTCTTACTGTAAATTTCATTTAAATTTCAATTTCATTCTTTCCCCGCTGTGCCATATCTCTGCGGTTAGGCAACACATCTTGCAGAAGGTCTACCGGCATGACAATGCTATGTATAAAAGTCCTTCGACTTAGGCGGTTCTGCGCGGGCGCCGCAATAGGAAGCTAGTAGATATACTGTACCGAACCTGGCCGAGTTCAAGGTCGCTCGCTACCTGGTAGTGACCTTGGAAAGTAAGCCAAGGTGATGTGTCACATGGCCGTGACCTTGGAAATTAGGTCAAGATGAAAGTCTCGTGCCACGTGGAGGTGACCTTGGAAATTAGGCCAAGGTGAAACTTTCGTGCGATGCGGGCGGTGACCTTAGAAATTAGGTTAAGGTGAAAGTCGCGTGCCACGTGACCGGGGATCTTGGTTGGGGGTGAAATATGACCTATTCACAAATTATTTAGTGTGGATTGCTCTTTTAACCAAAGCGAGATCGTTTCGTGTTTTTGTCTCACTCGTACCGGATGCAAAACCCGTGCTTAACTTTACGAGAGGGAGGAAGCCCTCTAATTAGTTCTTTTTCTGTTTAATATGCGTTTGGATGTGTGATAATCGACCTTAACTTACATTTTTCTGCATTTCATTTAATTGTAGCCGATGCTGGAGCAAAATCATGTTTCTTTACGTGTATGCCAAATACCAGTTTACGAGTGGTTTTTGTCTAAATTTATCAGTAGGTAGATATAACGTATTATACGATTGATGTACAGGGCCTCTCGGATACTGGCGGCTCAGGGTGAAGCTGAAACTATGTCTCTATATGTCGATGGGAAATTCGATTCTTTGACATCCTTATTGTTGGCTGCATAATTACACTGATCACAATTAAAATTGTTGAAAGTAACGTGATAAAAAGTGACGTTTAAAATTATCCTTGCTCTTTAAAGTGAAATAACAATGAATGCAAATGAAATTTTTGCAAGTGTATTTACTTTTACAGTCGTAAAAACTACAATGTTGATTACTTTTGGCGATTGTAAGTTAACAAAATGGCGATTTTGCAGTTTCTTCAGTTCATGTAGGTCCATTTTGTATTTTAGCGTCTTTTTGCTCTCTGTAGTCAGTCAGGTTAGTTGAATTGGATTTGTTTTAATTTTCTAATTCAATTGTCGTATTTGTGCTACATATAACACAAAGGTAATGTACTTTATATTTTTTAATTGAGATTATTACTTATTGTAGATTATGTTGCCTTCAGCTGTTTTGTAACTGAAGATGATCTTTGAATTTGGTTTTAATTGCTTTGAGTGTGAATGTTATTCCTATTTTCATTTGTTTGAGATCGGCCAGTTTTTAATTTTCCGTCGATTGTTTAAACTCATTTACACTCCAATTCTTTGTGTACTTTTTCGCCCCGTGCAGAGGTAGATGCCGAAGTGATAAAGAGACTTAACGGAATTCATCTCGAAATACAACTTTATTCTAAGGTTACCGTATCCAGCACGTTCAGATACCTTCTGGACTGGAATAGGTCCGGCTAATTAACAATGTATTTCATGTACATGTAAGAGACTTCGGAATGTTATTCTTTCACAAATGGGAATGGTTTGGAGGCAGTGGTTTGCCAATAATGATCTGACAAAGGGAAGCCTAAATGTATTAAATGAATTTCAAGGACCCGAGATTTACCTTAACTCTGTATACTAGGATGGATGAAAGTACTAACATTGAAAAGCAGGACGCTGCGAAGAGGAATGCCATTTTGCAGAACTCTTTTTGTCCGCATATTAAGTCAATCAGTAAGTCTACGTAAAACTTATACAGGGTGATTCCTATAGTACCTGCCACCGTTTGGGAGCGTATAGGGGGTGCCTAGGGGAGTATTTTGATATAGGACACTTGGGGTCGGAAATCTAAAATATGGGCGCCAGAACCAAATTTATCTTCTGGAATTTCACGCCTGTATGTAGGCAACCCAACCGACCGACGTTTCGCGCGGAGCGATGCAGAGCGAGTTAGCGCGAGGAAGCGACATGGGAGGGAAGGAGGGAAAACGACAGTCAAAAGCAATAACGTTTACAAGTGTTCAACGTGGCCGCCGTTGTTCTCAATGCACTTCCTACATCTAGCCAACTATTATTATACTATTGCCATAGTGTTTATTCACTTGATACGCGTCGTTGCAGACGGGATTTCGTGGGTTTAAACAAAATTCTGATCAAGTGTCAGCCACACATCGCCGCCTGAGATCGCTCCGTGTGCACCGCCGGCCGGTTGGGTTGCCTACCTACAGGCGCGAAATTCCAGAAGGTAAATTTGGCTCTGGCACCCTTATTTTAGATTTCCGACCCCAAGTGTCCTATATCAAAATACTCCCCTACGCACCACCTACACGCTCCCAAACGGTGGCAGGTACTATAGGAATCACCCTGTATGATTAAAATGGTGCAAAAAAAAATGCAACAATAAGTTGAACGTGTCGGTTGGATTTTATTGAGGTTTTGCTGGTTAAAAATGTGTTGTACAACTACGTTTGATATCCGACAGATTGCATAGTTTATCGGCCTGTCTGGACTGGTGTCGACGCGCTGAAGCAATGCCAGTATTATTTAACGTTGATCTGATTCTCGGGATAGTTTATCATTTTGCATGGCTGTTTGTCTGTCCGTCTGTCTATCCGTCTGTATGTCCGTGTGCACGATAATTTTGTTTAGAGACGTATGATCGTTTTAATTTCCTTCAGGATAGAAGAAAAGTCGCTATTGAATTTCAGCTACGTAGAGAAATTTAAAGAAAAAACAGAACAAGTGGGAGAGAAATACAAAAGAACACTTTAAAAAAGGTAGTACAAGAGCAAAGCGGTGATAGAGGAGGTAGGAAGGGAAGAACGAGTTTTTTGGAGTAAACGTTTTGTGGGAGAACGTAACAGCGCGAGGGGGGGGGGGCGTCTGGGGTGTATTTCATACTTCCAGATCCCTCGGTTCTGTATTCTCCATCAAAATGTTAAGTGCTTACTTAACGCATAATTTTTAGAAAGAGACCATTTAACGTAAGTGAATGGTAAACTTTTGCTACTGGGGGGGGGGGGCGGGGGGCGAGGAAGGAGACTAGATTTAAAGAGGGGAAATTGAGCAGATATTAAAGAGCCTCAAGAAACGGAATGCGGCAGTAAGAGATGAAATAAGAAATGAGGCTTAGATTTTCACCACAGATAGTATCAAGGAGAAGTTGAGGAAAGTAATAAACACGATATAGAAAAGACGGAGCCTATCAGAAGAATGGAAAGAAGAGGTAATAGTGCTGCTTCACAAAAGAGACGACTGTATGGAAAATTATAGGGGAATCACGATAATGACGACTGCTTACAAGGAAGACCACAAAGGGAAACGTGTGAAAGAGGTCCGCGAATTTCTGCAGGCCTACGAAACTGATGACCAGAAATTCTTGGGGATGAAAGGTGGGTCCAGCAGCGGTTATTGTTGGGTTATTGTTGTTTGGATGAAACAGTCACACACCCTTCCTACAGCCCAGACCTATCCCCAAGTAACTACCATCTCTTCCTTGAGTTGAAGAAACACCTGGGTGGGATGCATTTCAGAACCGGAGAGCAGCTCCGAGAACATGTTTCAAGGTACTATGATTCACGCATACAAAACATGGTACAGCGCATGGAAAAATGCATTGATCGGAACGGCGATTATTTATGTAGAAAAATATAGGCAATAGTGTGACCTATGTATTACCTATTCAATGCCAATTTTTCATTGTGAAAGTGATTGGGAACCTTAATTTACGGACAAGTCTTGTGTGTACAACACCATTTTTCATGAATTTGTAATGGAACCGAATTTGCCCGCTAAAATTCGATTTAAATATTCCCTAATCCGTTCCTGCTGCCACGAAGAAATTTAAGATTGCGCTTCGTTTCGTTTCCGTGGAACACGTGTTTTTCTCTTCTGTGTGAAATATAACGCTATACGAGGGAATCTAATGATCCCTATCGACCCGACGACCCGGAGCACGGTCGATATTAACAATTTTCGTTTAGGATTTGCTTAAAAAAGGAGAAATTTAGGCAGATGTATTTGTGTTTTTGTTGAGAGCAGAAGGAATGTTTACGTTTCGAATAGTGAGCGCAGCTTCGACAATTACAAAGGTGACGTAGTCTTTATCTTCACATTGATTGTATCAATCAAGTAATTAACGACATTCCAGTATAGTATGAACTCTACGTAAATATGTTGTTTTCCAATTTACAGTACCTCTTTGTTCCAAGCGCTGGTTTTGCCCGCAAACCCGCAATATGAATTACTGACCGATTTACTGTTTTTATTTATATTTAGATACAGTATGTTCCCTTAAGGATGATATCCAATACAAGTATGCAGAACTACATTTTAATTTATAATTGAATTTATTGCAGCACATTTCGCTTTTGTTTGCATGAATATGTTACTGTTTATTTACAGGGTGCTTCATCTGGGGGCGAGTGACGTACGTTAGGTGGTTGATTGTTACATATTGCACTTGGCATTGAGAATTAATTACTTATACTAATGTTTTGCCACGACATGTTCTTTTGTTTTGTTGTAATGTGATACTTAACGTTATGCTCCTACTATTTATTTGAACCGGGTGATTATGATTATTAATATTTGGCAGGGTGACTTGTTTCGAATATGTACTGTGCTATATTTGATACTGATATTTAATCTCGATTTGACGTAGCAGAGGCCGGCTAAAGTTCAGAACTGACATACGCAGAGATACATGTTTTATGTACTGTTTTTGTGTGTCTTAGAAAAGAGCCATTTGTCGATATTGCTAATCAATCCGTTTAGTCGATCCCTGATATGTAGTGACCGAATATTGGTTTTATGTCAGTCTTTGTTATGCCAGTGCAAATATGTCAATTGTCAAAGCCTACATAAATGCTATAACTTTTGTTTATAACTATGTATGCGTGCGAGTTTGCCGATGGTTGCTCTGTTATTTTTGTTATGTCATGATTTGTCTTTTGATCGGTTACTCATGATGAAGAGCCTGGAGTTCGGTCTTTTATAACTCGGAACTTTATAACTAGTGGGTTGGACTGGCCCTAGAGATATGTAAATGAAAGAGTTGGGGTCCAGCTTAGTCGTACATGAGGGCGTTGGCTAAGCCCGGCCTCACTTGCGCAGGGATCTGCTAAAAGCGTGCGGCGTGTTCTCGTTGTGACCTTTTGTTTTTGTTATCAATATCCTTCCTATGTGAAAGGCTCTGCTGAGAGGGCAACTCCTAGCGTTTTCATATAATACTGACATGTCATGACCAGAGCAACTGAAGACTACTCGGTGTGGGATTTGGACTGGCCATCCAATATTCAAACATATTATGTGAATTTATTGTACTGTTTTTATGATTGTTTTTTTTGTTAGGTGTGTGAAATTTTGATTCTTTAGGAATTCCAGTAGAGCCTGTGATTCGACATTATATTAATTTACTAAACAACCATCATAATATGCATTCATGTCATTACAGACGCTATGAAGTTTGATACTAATTTGTTGGCTGGTTTTTTTCTTGGTCAGTTCTTTTTTTCCCACCCTATTGTTATATTTGTACTCGGTGAGTAACAATTTTCTAAACTTAATCTTGTGATGCGAATTATTTGGATTAAATTTCCGTTTTTAAAAGCATGTACTTGTTTTATTTGTATTCCTTATTTGATCCTCACTCTGACAAGCAACACATATTATCTTGTAGCGACTCTTAAAAACACAACGTAGTAAATGGTCCTATTATTTTGTTATTCTCTCTCGGGGCTGGCCTGGGTACGTCACAAATTTAAAGGCAGCGTTTCACATAGTAGAAAGGGAAAGAGTATGAAAAATAATGGAGAGAGGGAAATGGGAAAATTCGGATCCAGACAATTTTCTCAGGGGAGGGGAGCAAAAGTAAATTTTTTAGTTCGACTGTGCATAGAAACTATTAATTTAAGTAACAACAAAAAGTTAATAGTAGGTACTACATTGCTTAAGCATTATTTGTGAGTTTGTTTTTAAATTAAACAATGTGAATGTTGGAATTACCTTTAATTGTAGAAGTTTATGGGGCACTTGGTAAATTGTCCTTGGGAAATCCGGAAATAGTTCATTTTAAATTTTTTCGTTAATTTGAGCTAGCCGATTGCAATAATTTTTTTGCGAAATTATAAACTTTATGTAATAAAAGCAAAATTGAATGTAACTACCTCGAACTAGCTCGACGACTCAAAGTGGACCTTCCAAAAGATGGCCTTTACAAAATGATTTTTTCCCAGTTACTTATAACGTCCCGGATTGGTCCAAAAGAAATGCACTATATGATCTCTTAATTTTCTTACTAATTGAGACAGAAAAAAATTAAAAGCAAAGAGGGTGCACGCTAATAGAAATGAATATGCTTTAGCAATCACCTCCACTAATGCTTTTAATAAGTGATACAGGTGGAACTTTTTCCTGAAAGGTTTTTTTTACATTCACGCATGGTTTTACAACACGTGAGTCTCGCTTTATCCCAAAATACCCATTCTTTAACAACGCAGTTGAATATAAAAGCAAATTTTTCACCAAAATGAATATTTAAAAGTCTACCGCATCAACAATATTTTACATTAAGAACGTAATACTATGGAGATTTACAATCGAATAAACGTCCAGTATTCATTGCATTCGTTTCGCGCACGGTGATCTGGATAATACCCTCAAACTGCCCGCTTTTAAATGGAAGGGTAATGCATACGCTCTCCGGCCGATGGCCGCTTTAAAATTTTTTCCCACAGCCCATTAGCGAACCCATTTTAATCTTACTTACCGTTTTTAATTCCGATATTTCCAAATTGCCATTGTTATTTTGATCGTAGTGCGAGAACATTATCGAAACTAGATAATCTTTACTGTGATTATCCTGAGACATGAGGCGGGCGTGATTATAAAGCAACAGATTATCCTAAAAACGGCGATGGAAGTAAAATTACCAAAATAATCGCATTTCCCTTACTTTCATTATCTCGTACTCCTGCATGGAGCAGCCCCTCTTGCTCTCTTCGATATCGACGTTAATTTCGTTATCGATTTCCGCGTCTAAATTTGAAAAAGTGTTCGTCGAGACCTAGAAGTTTCTTTTTATCTTTTAGTATTAAGGACTCGCTGTTTACGCTTACAGTTGATGAGATTGTTGTTTCTTCCGCATTAGAGGTAATTAAGTTATCTTCTGTGGGTCGCGAAGGTTCAATTGTGGTGTTGTCGTCTTCTAGAGCTAAGTTTGTGGGTGTTGTTGTTGCTAACTGATTAAAATATAGGTTCGTATGCTCCAGTGTTGGGGCCCACCCTTTCCCTGTAACATCCGTAGTTGAGTGATAGAACATTGCCACTCTCAGTATTAAACAAACCAAAACTAATTTGCATACATTATTATAAATTAAATCGTAGATACAGATTGTGTTGTTCCATTTACATACCGTGTTTAACACAGTGCACCCCGCGCTCTATGCTGATAGCGGTGTTAGTAAGGCAGGCTGCTCTGTGCAGCTCGCAGTGATTTGGATAGATGTGTCCATCAGAACCACACACCAATTTATGATGCACATTGCACTGTCTTTGGCATACACATTTCGCTTCACCGTCCTCTGTGAGTGTGCATTCGTGTCCTTTCATACAGTAGTGCACTAAGCATGGGCCTGATGAACGCAAAGCAAACCCTCAATAGGTCAATGTAAGGGAGCCGAAGTTACTTACTTGTCTCTAATAGGGTGATATGTGTTGTTGAAGACGAAATCGAAAGGGAATCTCTGTGGTGCCTCGATCTCTGTAACAAAATTAATTTACAGTTTCTGTACTAATTAATGCCTAAAAAACAAGCGTACAGACTCGAATATTTCAAACACAAAACCTAATTTAATTCCGAGCTGGTACATATTAGTAAGAAGCTTTTGTATGGCCTGTAACTAGCGGGTTTACTGCCACCTCACAGTAGAGAATGTGCGTTATTCAAATTCAGGGGTAACACGAAGAGATATTAGGGCGTATTGTTCGACTTCAATTACAGTTAAAGTGAAATGACTCGAATTGTCGCAATTTTTAACCTCTAAAGCTTTAGAGCGCGTTGTAATTAATTCTATTTGGGCGTTCTCGGAATATTGTTTATCCTATTTGTATAGGATAATCTTGTTTACTGTCACGTAGCAAACTGGGATGAAGTCGATCTGAGTGTATTTTGAGCTTGGCTGAGAAAGCAATTAAGTTTATTACTTTTTAACCGATATTAAAAGAAAATGTTTACAAGGCAACACAAGTATAAATATAGAGGACGTTTGCTCTTTATTTATAACTTTTAATTTATATTCTGCAATAGTAGCTAAACTTAACTACAGGTAAAGATGTGAGCTTACGCTCGCGATAATTTCAGTTAGATTTAATGGCGACAGCCAGACGGTTTTGAATACCGTGGTCTGCGATAAAAACAGACGCGAGTCGTCGGGTTTACGTTGGTTCCCTTTTCGGTTTTTCAGCACGGTAATGATTACAGATATTAGTTTATTAATCAGCATTGCATCATCATGCTTTGCTTATTCCCAATTATTTGGAAAATAGAACGCAACTTGTTATGATTGCTGGGAAAAATCTTCTTTGGCTCATATAACGGCTGGTGTGCCGCAAGGACCTGTCCTTGGTCCATTACTTTTTATATTATATACCTTTAATTTCCACAAAAGTTTAACTGAGACTAAAATTCATCAATATGCGGATGACATACTGCTCCAGTATGAGTTCAGTAGCCATGATGCAATTCGTACAAATGAGATACTGAATACTGACATATGCAGTTCAATTACAACAGCTGAAAGCCATGGTTTGCGAATCAATTCCGCTAAGTCGTCAGTAATTCTGTTTGGGCAGTCTAGAATCAGAGAGCAGATTAAGTCTCAATTGGAGGTTAGGGTTAATACAACTGAATTAATTGTAAAAGACAGTGTTTGGGTGTTGTCATAGACTGTGACTTACGATTTAAGAAATTTAATACGCTCACATTTCGACGCGAATTCTCCCGCACCTTAATCTCAATTATCTGATGGCTCTCTTCAAAGAACCAACTTCGTACTACTTTACTTATTTGATTAACATCCATCCTCTTACTTACGCCTTTCCCATCAATCAAAACTTATTTGTCCAATCAGAACGCTTGAGATCTATCAAATTACTCCACGTGGAGTAATTTCTTGCAAAGTTAGCAAATCCCAAGTGTGACGTGAGTTAAGATTTTATCTTGATTAAACTGGACGTGGTTCATGTTATGTAATTTGGCTAGATTATTTTTCACATTTGCAAAGTAAACCACTTCACAAATTCTTGTCTTTATAATTTGAAGGTTTTTTATTTGATACTTAATAAGTTGTAATAATTTGAATACGACGATTAAATGTGAAAATTAATCAACTTTATTTATATATGAACCAAATGCAATGTATACTGAATCACCGTCAGGTGCTAAAAGAAAATTCGTAGTTTCTTAAACACTCTGTATAACAAAAATAAATCGAACAGCAAAAAGTTCATACATTAATAAATTTCAGGCGCGAGTCTAAAATTTTACAAGCAGATAGCGTTTCCAAAAACATCAACTTAATGCCAAACGCAAGTAGGTGCTTAAATCGCCTTTAATTAATATGGCACTTGGGAATAAAAATCTCTTCAGTAGTTTTTTTTTGTGAAATGCACTACGACGCTAGTTCAAATAAACGACGAGGCAAACAACAACATTGGCCTCCAGCTGTGTTCTACACGGACCGGCCACAGAATGATCGCTGATCGCCTGTGTTACGACGACTAGGAGAGGGGTTGCAACTTCCACCCCACCATCCACTAGCGCCCTATTGGCCGCGTCGCCAGACGCCTCTACCGGAAATCGTTTATAAGCAGCGCACCGACAGGGGAACTTCACTTGTGCCTGGGCAAACCTACCTTACCCTACACAAGCGACTGAGGCTGGTCGCTTGGGCTCAAGTACCGTCTCCGCACGCCATCACTTCCCGGCTTGACCGTAGTCAAGTCCGGCGCCATCCCACGTGCCAGAAGCGATCTTATATATGTACATATAGCCTCTGTATTATTTGTAAATATTGTGTAATATACGTTTTCAACCTCCGTTTGCCACTTACGTTACCCCGCCCGGTAACAATTGGCGCCCATACGTGTGAGTCAACCAGCAGCATCGCGCTCTGAGGATCTACGCCCACGCTCCCGCGACAGCCGACGCGCAACACCATGAATACGAGGAGCAGGAACACCCCGACGTCCAACTCCGGCGCCGACGAAGGTATCGACACTCAAACAACGGAGATGACCCCGGCAATCAACCCCGGTCTGGACCCGGCAACCCCGTCCAGTGGCGCCCAACACTCTCAACACACCCTCGACATGCTAAAGGCGCTGACCGACGCCCTCCAGAACGCGCAGAAAACCGCATCACCGGACCTACCGACCTTCAGCGGCGACCACCTGGAGGACCCAACAGTCTTCTTCAGCACGCTCGAGCAGACAATCCAAACCACCGACCCGACGGAAAAGTTAAAAACAGCAGCAGCACAACTAAAAGGGGAGGCTGCGAAATGGTGGAACAGTTACAAGGCATTTTCACCGACATACAACGACCTAAAGAACTACACCCGCGAAAAATACGACAGCAGCAAGATTCGCGGGAAGATGCAATCAGAATTCTTCGGCCGAGAACAAGGAGCAGAGTCGCCGCAGCAATTCCTCCAGAGGAAGGCACAGCTAGCAAAACGGCTGAAGATCCCGATCGGCGAGCACCTCGAGCTACTGAGAGACCTGCTGCACCCACGCATTAGAGTAGCCTTTTTAACCACAACACCCACTTCACTCCTCGACTTGGTGCGTCACGCCGAGGAAATCGAAAACTGCAACAAAGCGCTACCTCGAAACAATCAACCCAGACCATCGCCACCAACCCCCGCCGACAGACCTCCCAACACACCAAAGTGCCACCACTGCCCGGAATATCACTTCCACCGAGACTGCCCAGTACTGACCCGCCGCCGAGACCAGGGAAACGGGGCAGCGGTCGGGAACAATGCCCGGCCGTCCACCTAATCCAGACTGCGACCCGACCCAACCTACCAACGCTGGCAGTCAAGGTACGCGGAAAAAGCGTAAGAGCTCTCCTCGACTCCGGATCATCCCATAACTTCATCCAGAAGGAGCTCGCGTGGAAAATCCACCATAGCAACCACCAAACAGCCGGCCTAGCGAATCCCCGCCATCAGCTGGAAGTCATCGGCACATCCAGAGTCGAGTACACGCTCAACGACAAGCAAGAATCGGACGACTTCCTGGTGACACCAAACCTTGTCGTGCCCATGATCTTGGGACAGAAGTGGCTCCAAGAACATCGAGCGGTGCTGGATTACGAGAGAGCGTGCATCCACTGGGGAACCCATACAAGGCAGACAACACACTGGGACCAAGCTCCGAACCGCGGCCCAACAACGAGCGACTCCATAAACTTCGCCGGAGTCAAGCACGGGTTCCAACCACCACTCGATCGACGCCTGGCCACACTGCTGGAAACTTTCGGTAGCACACTGGCCGATCCTGCAACGCCCACAACAACAGCATCCACCACACATCGCATCCGAGTCACCAAAACAACGCCCTTCCGACTTCCGCCATATCGACATTCGCCAAACAAAAAGAAGGTCATCGCGGATGAAGTGGAAGCTATGTTAGCAGCGCAGGTGATCGAGCCCAGCACGTCCGAATATTGCTCGCCCATCGTCATAATTCAGAAAAAAGACGGCCGCCCGAGATTCTGCATCGACTACCGTCGTCTAAACGCCATCACAAAAGACGAGAGCACCAACCTGCCAGTCATACAGGAGACCCTCCGAGACCTGGGGACGGCCAAAGTTTTTTCCAGCCTGGATCTCAAATCAGGCTACTGGCAGGTGCCGCTAGAGACGGAATCCCGACATCTCACCGCGTTTTCAACCCCTGATGGAGCGAGTTATCAATTCAAAGTAATGCCGTTCGGGCTCAAGAATGCACCTGCTACGTTCCAGAAGCTAATGACCCAGGACGTTCTCGCCGGGTATTTACGGAAATTCGTCATGGTATACCTGGATGACATAATAATCTACTCAGACTCCTGGGACGAGCACCTCAAACATCTACACCTCGTGCTGGAACGACTGCAACGCCACAAACTCCGCTTGTCCCTCGAAAAGTGTCGCTTCGGGGTGCAAACGATCCAATACCTGGGCCACAACATCACGGCGAACGGGAACCGCCCGTGCCAGGAACACATCGAAGCAATCCGGACCGCAGACCGGCCCACCTCGAGGAAGAAGCCAAGAAGTTTTCTAGGATTGACCAACTGGCTACGAGAGTACGTGCCCCGGTGTGCCGAATTACAAGCACCGTTGGATAACTTACTAACAAAGAACCCCCCTTTCCGATGGACAGCGGCAGCCGACGTCGCCTTTAGCCAGTTAAAAGCAGCACTTAGCAAACCACTCCAACTCAGCCGTCCGGACTTCGCCCCTCCATTCGTGCTGCAAACCGACGCCAGCGAAAACGGGATTGCGGCCGTACTCTTTCAAGAACCCCACCCCGGAGAGAAAAAAATTATCAGCTACGCCAGTGCCAAACTTAACCACGCGCAGAGACGCTACCATATCAACGAACAGGAGTGCTTGGCAGTAGTGTGGGCCATTAAACGATACCGGCCATATCTGGAAGATAGACGTTTTACGTTGAAGACAGACAGCCGCGCTCTCCTGTGGCTGGATCGCACAAAAGACGAAAAGAGCAAGCTAACTCGTTGGGCATTACGGCTCCAAGAATTTACGTTTGATGTGGTCCACTGTCCGGGGAAAGAAAACGAGCTTCCAGACCACCTGTCCCGCCACCCATCAGCAGAAGAAGCCGAAGAAGCCACTGCAGAAGACGTAAACCGCATGCTGCCACCTACGACCACACACGAGTCCAAACAAACCAACAGCACCCCGGTAATCGCGGCAGTGGAAGTGGCCAATTTGGCGGACCATGTGAAGGAGTGCCAAAAGACAAACGAAAACGCCATCGTTCTGGTACGCACCTGGCACAGAATACAGCAGGAAGGACCAGCGACACCAGCACAAGCAAGGTTCAACCGGGATTACACGGTGGACAACGGTTACCTCTACCGCAAAGCACCCCAAGGGAACCTACTCGTAGTCCCCTGCAGCCTTCAACCAGCGGTACTAGAAGCGTACCACAACGCAGCCACAGCTGGCCACCCAGGAGCCGAAGAAACGGAACGGGCCATAATGACACATTACCACTGGGCGAAACTGGGAGACACGGTGCGGAATTATGTACGAGCATGTTGGATTTGCGCGGCAGTCAAAAGAGGCCCGGTCCAGGACGCCACCGTACGCCCACGCAAACCCACACGACCCTGGGAAGCGGTTTCCGTAGACTTGATGGGCCCCTACGACGCCACACCTACAGGCTACCGCCAGATAGTCGTGATCACGGACCTCTTCAGCATGTGGGTGGAGGCATTTCCAGTAAAGGAAGCAGTCGCTCCAACAGTGGTCAGAATCCTGGAACACGAGGTATTCGCACGCTATGGTTTCCCGAGAGCGATCATCTCAGACAACGGACCGCAATTCACATCAGTGACATGGGACGCGGCACTTCGGAAGTGGGGAGCAATGCACTGGACGACGCCCATATGGCACCCGCAGGCGAACCCCGTCGAACGCCGGAACCAAGAAATCAAAAAGGGCCTCCGCACTCATCTGGTGGGACAAAGCCCCAGCGCCTGGGCGGCCGTACTACCCATTGTCATGTTCACGTTACGTACGAGGAGAAACGCCGCTACTGGACTCACGCCGAGCCACGCGCTGCTAGGCTACGACCTACCCAGGCCAGGAGAGTGGAAAGCCAGGGATCGACCACCTCCACCGACAGGAGAAGCCCGAGAGGAGGTCGTACAGACGGTGCACAGGAACCAGGCACGATCCCGCAGCCGGTACGCGAACTACGGGCCAGCCCGCACCCAGTACCAAGTAGGCGACGGAGTGATGGAAAGATCCAGGGACCAACACTCCGGGAACTTTCACATGAAGTACACAGGTCCCTACACCATCGAAGCACTGGCGGGCACAAACGCGTACTGGATAAGGCGAGGAAACGAACTGGTAAAGGTGCACGTACACGATCTACGCCCTGCACCCAACCAACCCACCCCGGCACCAGTACCGGAACTTCCGCCAAGAATCATTTCACCGACGCCACCACGGAACCAACGACAACCCCGTCACCGCCGTTTGCTACAGCGCCTGCACCCCGCCGTCGCAACCCCTTTACAGGGGGGGGATACTGTTACGACGACTAGGAGAGGGGTTGCAACTTCCACCCCACCATCCACTAGCGCCCTATTGGCCGCGTCGCCAGACGCCTCTACCGGAAATCGTTTATAAGCAGCGCACCGACAGGGGAACTTCACTTGTGCCTGGGCAAGCCTACCTTACCCTACACAAGCGACTGAGGCTGGTCGCTTGGGCTCAAGTACCGTCTCCGCACGCCATCACTTCCCGGCTTGACCGTAGTCAAGTCCGGCGCCATCCCACGTGCCAGAAGCGATCTTATATATGTACATATATCCTCTGTATTATTTGTAAATATTGTGTAATATACGTTTTCAACCTCCGTTTGCCACTTACGTTACCCCGCCCGGTAACAGCTGATTAACCCCGTGGAGATTTTCAACTTTTGCGTTTTCTTTCGTGGAAATGCCACGAAAATCTTCGCAAGACCATTATGAAAAAAAATTACATGTACAACTGCGAATCTATATTTAGAATATGCATTTATAGTACGCTACAAAAATTTTCTGTACATACGGAGGATCGTTACTAGATCAGAACCGTAAATGTGCAATAGCAGCCATACTAACTGTATTCTTTTGTTACAGATACCATCGCGTGCGACATTACAAAAGCGATGGAAACTGAAGAGGAAGACGGGGAGGAATTGCCACACAACCGATAAGAATTCGACATCAAACGATAATGATACCATCAACGCGGACTAATCTGAACGTGCTTCTTCTTCTGCTTGGGTTCTGTTCTGAAAGCTTCCTTTCAACATGCCCCAGTACGTGCGAATGCAAATGGAAGAGCGGCAAAGAGTCTGCAATCTGCACCAACGCCAACCTTTCCTCCGTTCCTCTTCACCTGCACCCCAACACTCAACTTTTGAATTTAACCTCAAACAATTTAATAACAATAAAGCACGACGAGTTTAGTAAAGCCGGTCTACTGAATCTTCAAAAGATTTACATATCCAAATGTCGCCTAAAAGTTCTAGATCGGTACGCTTTTCGAAATTTAATTAATTTAGTTCAGTTGGACTTGAGCTACAATCAGCTATCGGTGATTCCATCTCACGTTTTCGAGTCCATTTCGGAACTTCGCGAGTTGAAATTGAGCGGAAATCCAATACAAAGGATACTGAATGACGCTTTCGTCCACGTACCGCAATTGGTGAAGCTCGAGCTGTCCGAGTGCAAAATAGGGACCATTGAAGAGAACGCGTTTTCCGGCCTCGAAAAATCCTTAGAATGGTTGAAGTTGGATAAGAATAAGCTTTCAGACGTGAAATCTTCGTCGTTTACAATTCTGCAAAGTTTGCACGAGCTGGACATCGCGGGGAATCCGTGGAATTGCACGTGCAAGTTGCGACCGCTTAGGGAGTGGATGCTGCGACAAAACGTGCCGTTTGCTGTTCCTCCAGTTTGTCGGTTTCCTAGCAGGTTGGGGTCGCGGTCGTGGGATAAGCTTGAGTTGGACGAGTTCGCCTGTGTGCCCGAGATTATCGCATTGGATCCTAAAGCGCATGGAATTGAAGGGAAGAACGTTACTTTGACGTGTAACATAGCCGGAATTCCTGAACCGAACGTTAGGTGGTTACTAAAAAATAAAGTGATAGGTAATTTATCTGCAACACATTTTTCAAGTGGTAAAAAGCTTTACGTGGTGCAATTACAGAACAGCTCTAGTGATTTAACTATTTTAACGGCTGATCTCCAAGATGCTGGTGTCTACGTATGTGCTGCAGAGAATAAGGCTGGTAGGTCTGAGGCGAGCGTCACTTTGGCGGTGTCTCGTAAACCACCTGAAAGTTTGCTCAGTAAAAAGGTGCTGTTTGCTAGCGTTGTGGTGGGATTGCTCTTTGTGTTAGTTGCTAGTTCGATTGCACTATGTATTTGCGCGATACGTAAAAAACAGGTGATGCAGTGGCGCGATCGTAACTGCCGTAGGGAGGACAACTATGAAAAAATTGAAATGAACCATAAGATAGTTAGTAATGTTTGTGCCAAGAGTGAAACGGCACAGAGTGAACTAATGCAAGTGAATAATCCTAGAAGGAATGGTGACTATCGACTCGTCCCTGGTGCTGAAACTGAACAGGAAAACGATAGGGATGATGAAGGTTTTGATGGGAGTGTAGGGGTAGCTGCGATTTCCAAAAATCAAAGTGATGAAACGAGAACGTGGACCAAGCAGTTAAGCAACGATCGTTGGAATTCCCCAGAACTTCCGTTGTTGGATACGGATGACTTGCACATTCCCAGAAGAACCATCAAGGAGAACAGGTAAGTACTAGCTCGCCTTATAAGATGTTGTAAGTAGGTTTCACTTTTTCTAGAGACGATCGCAAGAGGAGTTCACATTCGACGTCTGGTACATATAACCGTGATCGTATGCCCCCTTCCAATGTAACCTCCCCACAGTCCACACAGCTGCCGTTTGCAAAAAAGCAAAAAACCGGGAACTGCTTCGCTTTATCCTACGCCTCATCTACGAGCACGGAGTTTTCCGGGTTTGTAGAAGACGACCCCGACAAAAAATACCCCGATTTGATCGAAGGCTCCCCTTCCACCCACAAAGGTTCATTAAAAGCCATTAGCGAAGGAAATAGCGTAACGGATATTTCTGAATTTTATTGCACCTTGCCTAGGAAAGGTACCAAGGATAGGGAGCAATGGAAGTACAGTAGTACGGATAGTCAATTTCCATTGCTCAACGAGAGTCGCTACAGCAGCAGCGGAGGAGAGAGCAACTGCAGTCAACCTTCCGCAAAAAGACGCATGTCCGATATCACCAAATCGGTTCACAAAGTTAACCAAAGATCCAACAGCTTTCTAAATTTATCTTCCACTAAACAGAGCTCTCCACCTTCCCCAATACACGAAACGCCAAACTCTACTCCTTTGCTTGACATTAACGCTTTAGATAACCGCGTTTCCTATCGGAGGCATATCGTTACGCCTTCACCATCACCTGTGCCTACAACTATTGCCAATTCTTACGATTATCACGCAGCACAACTAGAGAGATTTTTAGAAGAGTATCGAACTTTGCAGAAGGAACTCACCAAAATGAAGGAGACCTGTGAGAATATCTCAAAAGAGAAAACGTCTAGTAGATACCTGGATCCGGCACTCGGCAACACTTCCTCCCCGATCAGCCCAATATCCGATACGAGCAATTCCAAGTACAACTCATCCCAAAACTCCCTTCTGACCCACTCGCCTAACTCAAATCAGACTTTAGACAACTCGTTAATTAACTTTGAGAGCGAACTGTCAAAATATATTCTCCAAAGGAATTCTTCACCAAAAACGTTTAACAGTGAAGTGTTTAATAATATGAATGGACAATGAGGTTGTAAATACTAAATATTTGTTATACCAACAGTTAATTTGTTGAATGTTATAGATTTAGAAAGCATTTGTGATATCATCGTTCTTATATCGTTTCATTACTACATTGATTAACGTTCATATAATATTCTTTGTAAGTTTATGATTTAATTATATCGATTTGAATTACCTATGTGCAATTTACATACGCGATGAACGCAGAAGACAGACATTAAGCATCGAGAGCGTGGTTTGAATACGGTATTTTGCAAACAAATGTGTAAGTTAGGTATTGTTTCTCAATGGGTTCTAACAAAACTTGGTCCTATTATCCATAAGAACCACAAGGAAGAGAAAGATTTGTAAGTAGTTTTCAGGTAAAGTTTAAAAGGTATAGGACACTGCGTGTAATGTAAAAGTTAAGGAGAACGGGAATGTATGGATTTGAAAGTTTCAGGAAGGGTGAGAAACAATAGGAGTTCATTTTCTGTTGGAGAAGCTTTTTTAATACAGACTATTACTGTGTATAAAAAGTTTAATATGACTAACAGAATTAATTACCTGGAGTGTCTCTTCTGTTATGTCTATTGTCTATTATACTTGGGATATTGACGGAACCCAAGAATATTACGGTAGCATTCAGAGTCGGACTGCTTCATCATGATCTACAGGAAGAATATGCGATTATCTTTTCTTACGAGGTAGAATAATAGATTATTACTTGGTGAAAAGTACAATAAATCTACCGCCTCTAACCTAATACTCACACAAACTTGCCTTAAATGTGACCCAAACGATGGATTTTCTTTATTTTCAGCAACGGGCATGCATGGGCCATAGACGTGCAAGCGCAAATTATACAGAGGGATGCATACACAGTGAGTTTTTTTTGAATGCGAACATAGGAGTTTGCATGCAATGTAATTTCCCTATGTTCGATTAAAAAAAAAACACATCAATCTATGAGGTGTGCGCGGTTCACATTCCCAAATCGCGCAACTTGTGTGACTATGAAGAGCAACTCTATAGTCTTTATGATGAAGAGCACTCGGTAAGATTTTTTTAAAGAAGCCATGTGAGGCCATACATTTTTCTTAAACTTACGATAACTTGACCTCACAGGTCACGCACTGGCATCACAACTCATTGTGAACCAACCTTCAATTATTTGTAGGTGATGTGCACCCTGGTATTCTACTAATTTTGGTCTATTCAATACATAAAATAAATACCGAAAACAATTACAATAAATGTTCGAAGTGTCCTCCTTAAGATTCTAAGCAATAACCTCACTGATTTCGTAATTAAATTGGACGGCGGTATTTTTAAAAATGTTACAGCTGTCAATTGTATCTGCTACTCATTTGAACTACTCAATAGATTGATGTGTTTTTTTAAAAATCGAACATAGGGAAATTACATTGCATGCAAACTCCTATGTTCGCATTCAAAAAAAATTCACTGTATATGGATCAATTTAGCCTTATTATCGAAAAAAACCTGACACACGTTTAATTCTATTCTAGAATTTATAGTATGAGAACGTCATCCTTCTATATAGCACTCCCTTTGAGTTATAATCATCCTCTGAAGATTTGTAAATTATCTTTTCCAAAAGTAAGACCATTCAAAGTTTCTGCACATTTTGTTCATATTGGTCTACTAGCATCGGTTCCAAAAGAAGGTACAGTTTTGCAGTTTTTCGGCTATATTTCGAAAATAGTGGGTCGTAGTAAAAAATTTTCTTATCAAAATTAAAAGCTCAAAATTTTCTACAACTTTGTTTCCATACATCTTTTTCAAAAAATCGCATCGTTTTCCAGCTCATTTTCAAACAAAATCACGTTTTCGGTCGAACTTTTCTACGAGCTCATTACCTGTTCACTTTTAACGTATAAGTGGATGGTTGTAGGGAATTAAATTTCCTTCAAGAATCATTGACATCTGTGGTGTAACATGCTTCGATAGTTCGAGTTTACCTACAACAAAGATGAAGTGAAATTTTATGGGCGAAGATAATTTCCAATTCAGTTGTACGGACAATTCCTCTCCATGAGGATCGTTTACGTCCTCTTCATCTCCTTCCAGGATTGGTAGAGAGTTAAAACAGCCCCCTTGGCAGTTGGCACAGACACTGGTACAAAATATGCCAGCCTTCTTGCACCCACAGCTAGCCCCGCAGTTCGCAGTAGAGCAATGGCAAAAAATGGCTTGTAAAATTACCTCTTTTCCAACCCTATTGTTCGGGAGGGAGTAATTTCTACAGCCACTGCTGAACTTGGAGAAACACTCTAACAGGGTGTTGCCATGCTGAAGTTTTCGTTGGAGGAAGAGAGGGAAGAGTTGATTTGTGGTGAATCAGGTTATGCCTTGCGGAATAAAGTAGTCATTCCCCATGTCGCTTTTTAATGAGGGAGGAATGAGAAAAACCCAGAAATCCACGTTGTACCGGGTGACCCAATAAGACAGTTCCTCGGCCGTATCTCGAAAACCGTTCGTCATATGACTTAGGGGTAAAAAAAATTAAAAAATTAAATCGGTTATGAAAAATCACTGCAAAATATTTTCAAGTTCTAAAAATGACCAACAGAGGGCGTAACTGCTATCTTAAATTTTAAAATTGCATTTTCTTTATATTTCGCATACTAAACTAAAAAAATGTTTTCACAATTTTAAAGAGAACCAGTTTATCTATCATTTTCGTAAAAACAAAAACTCAGTTATTTCAAAAACAAAAATGGTGTGGGGCGTTCAATTGTTTTTGGAATAACCTGCTTTAACTTCTTAACCGTTTGACCGATTTTAACAAATTTGGTATGGTTGAAAAGAGCATTCCTTGGGCAATGAGAATCAACCAAAATATAGTTAATTTAGTTGAATCCTTCTCCGCCAGGGGGCTACAATGACCCGAAATCCTAAACAAATCAATAAAATCAAATGGAATGATATGACCTTTTTTTAGTGAAAAAGTAGCCAAATAACATCCAAAGAGGCCAGTGAAAACCGTTTTTAAAAATCTCGTTCCTAACCTCAAATATTGAGAAAATGAGATTAATTGATTAATTAATTAAACTGCTTAGCTTGTATCTTACATTTACTTTTTACGTATTTCCGGTATTTGTCGATAGCGCGAAAGCTTTTGGTTAGAAATCGGCATTTTATAAAAGACTCCAAATTCAAAAAACTGAACTTTCTGAATGTAAACATAGCAGAATAATTTACAAATTACGGCTGTTATTATTTTATAATGCATCGTGTTTCATTTGTTTATTTTCCAAGGCCTACTCAAAAGTGTAGGGTCCTTTTCCAAACCTTCTTTTGCGCCATCGACAAATACCGGAAATACGTCAAATAAGATACAATTTAAGCATTTTTATTAATTAATTAATTAATCTCATTTTCCCAATATTTGAGGTTAGGAACGAGATTTTTAAAAACGGTTTTCACTGGCCTCTTTGGGTGTTATCTGACTACTATTTCATAAAGAAAAAGTCATATCATCCCATTTGATTTTTCTGATTTTCTTTAGGATTTTGGATCATAGTGCCAAAACTAGTCCCCTGGCGGGGAAGGATTCAACTAAATTAACTATATTTTGGTTGGTTCTCATTGCCCAAGGAATGCTCTTTTCAACCATACCAAATTTGTTAAAATCGGTCAAACGGTTAAGAAGTTAAAGCAGGTTATAGCAAAAACAATTGAACGCCCCACACCACCTTTGTTTTTGAAATAACTGAGTTTTTGTTTTTACAAAATGATAGATAAACTTGTTCTCTTTAAAAATGGGAAAAAAAATTTTTAGTTTATTATGCGAAATTTAAAGAAAATGCAATTTTAAAATTTAAGATAGCAGTTATGCCCTCTGGTGGTCATTTTTAGAACTTGAAAATATTTTGCAGTGATTCTTCATAACCGATTTACTCAATACTACCCCTAAATCTTACGACGAACGTTTCGCGAGATATGGCTGAAAAACGGTCTTATTGAGTCACCCGGTACAATGCTTTTCGCGCGAGTACGGGCAGTAGTTTGAACCCAAAAACGTGTCATGGATGGTGGCTTCCTCTTACACCGAGTGAAATGGAATCCCAGCAGCACTTTCTCTTCAATCGCCGACCAGTATGTGGCCTACCTCAAAAAGTATTACGGTGACTGCCACGTTGTCTTTGATGGATATGAATACCCAAACTCCACCAAATGCGCAGAGCAGAAACGCAGGCACATACAAAAAACAAGACCAAGCTAATTCAGTTACTAGTTGACAGTTTCGTGGGAAGTGGGATAGAGGTAAGCCTTGCTCCAGGTGACGCAGATGTCAGTATCGTACTGTGTGGAGTGGACAAGTGTGCTACCCATTCCACAGTCATGCTATTTGATGTCGATCTAGTGGTGATACTCATCGCATTGACACCGTCTGACAAAAACATTTTCTTCCTCAAGCCTGGGAGGGGGAAAACGGAGACCAAAGTATTTTCAAGGCAGCAACTCCAACAACTGCCGTTTAGTGGGGATATTCTCTTCTTACACGGCTTCACGGGTTGTGCCACTACTTCTGCCATTTACAACCGTAGCAAAACAACATTGTTTGAAAGGAACGCAAAGAAAATCAGTTTAATCGCTCAAGTTTTTCACAATCTCAACTCAACAAATCTGCCAAGGGGGCTGCTTTAACTCTCCACCAATCCTGGAAGAAGATTAAAAGGACGTAGATGATCCTTATGGAGAGGAATAAAATTGTACGTACATCTGAATTGGAGATTATATTCGCTCGCGAAATTTCACTTCATTTTTGTTGTAGGTAAAGTCGAACTGTCGAAGCATGTTACACCACACATGTCAATGATTGTTGAAGGAAATTTAATTCCCTACAACCATCCACTTATACGTTAAAAGTGAACAAGGTCATGAGCTCGTAGAAATGTGTGACCGAAAACGTGTTTTTTGAAAATTTCTCACCTTCAAGAGCTGGAAAACGATGCGATTTTTTGAAAAAGATGTATAGAAACAAAGTTGTAGAAAATTTTATGAGCTTTCAATTTTGGTAAGAAATGTTTTACTACGACCCACCATTTTCGAAATGTAGCCGAAAAACTGCACAACTGTACCTTCAACCCCCTCCCCTCCCGCCCCGGAGGCACCGAAATCGCTCGGAACTTTATTACACAATCATCAGGAGACCTT